GGGACCTTCTGTTTTCCCCTATATTGCCTGGTGGAGCTCTTGGATATCTCTACTGATCTAAAAAAGCCCTTTGAGGTGAATAGTCATCTGATTCCTTACTCATTTGTGCAAAGCCTTATTGATTATATATTCAATGTTACCTGAATTTAATATTTAAACTTCCAATACTAATGACTATAGAGTATTTGGCTTTAAATATGACCCTGAGAAAGGGATATTGTAATGATATTGGATTAATATGGAGATATCCTTATGGTTTTTCTAGCCCCGATGAAGCACTCTTGGACCTCCGAAACACATTGGATACTTTTTGGATTGTCCCCCTGATTGTTATTGTAATAAAGCTTTATATAAACCTTTTAGTATTGGTGTGGAGCTTTAATTTCCATTTTTGTTACAGTATTGTCTCAACTGAGACATCTCTGTCCTCCAATATCATTGAAACCATGTGAATTTCTGTGGATAAAAAAAAATAAGATAGATACAAAAACCTCATCAGCGCTTTAGCGGTTAATCCCAAACACTTCTACGACAGATGGTATAGCATTACTCCAACCCTCAGTTCCACTCCAGCCTCGCTCTCAAGCAATATAAGCAAGCAAGATATAAAGACTCATGGTGTAGTTATATTGTACTCACATTTGGTTAAAAGCAAGTAGGCATCAAACAATCATGTGGCTGCAGTAATCCCAATTCGATGTGACATTCATTCCAGCTGGTGGCCACGTAGCATGGTGATGTCACGTTAGGCTCCCCCCAAAGTGTTTCGTCATATTGCTGATGTCATCATTGGCTATTGGGTATTTTGTTTTAAATATTCCCCAAGGAGGGGATATTGTATTGATATTAGAGTGATATGGAGATGTCCTTATGTTATTTCCAGCCCTGATTAAGCACTCTTGGACTCCTGAAACACGTTGGATAGGTTTTGCGTTGCCCTCTTATGTATAAACCTCTTATCTGTGGTGTGGCACTACAATTTCCATTTTTGTTAAAGTATTATTTCAGCTGAGACATCTCTGCCCTCCACACACAGGCAGCTATACACAGACAATACAAATACTTTTGAAACTACATTAGCATGCTGAAGCGTATATGGGATTTTCGTTATTGGGTTTATATGTACTATAATTTTAAGCAGCAGCATGCAGGGTGAACTACATCCTAAAGATTTCCTCCAGTGTTTTCTTCTTGGTTATTTTTCAACCCCATGCAATACCTGATTAAAAAATCACATCTCTTATTCAGCGAGCATTGCACATAAATATTTGTGAATGTTATTAATAGTTGCATTATGTGCTGCTTGTCTTTTAGGTCTAGTGGTTAGTGAACATCTGAAATATTTCTTGTGATCCTGCAATGTAAATATATCTTCATTCGTATATGAATCATATATAAAGTGGCATGCACGGTGATGTAAGCATTAGAGAACGGACAGCTTTGTGGTTTCTACAGCTGAGTCTATAAGCTACAAAGATCCTTCTGTGAGGATTTCAACCATCATGGTTTATACAAGAATGGCAGATCCATTTGGATGTGTTTTTACAACTAAGATATTCCCCCCAGTGAACGTGAATCAATTCAGTGTAATAATATAGATGTAAGTGTTTGGATGAACAAACAATTGAATTTCCAAAGGGGCTAGCCGTACTAGAGCCATAGCCTGTCTATCCTGCAGAATAAATGAACATGTACTTGAGAATAAAACCACATTCCTGTATATTTATCACTATCCTGGGCTAACAAACCCGTCACCCGCATATGATTTTTTTTTAGGCGTATGTACAATAATATAATAAAGAATATACACAGAGTAATATTTAAAAACGTTTATTTTGCTTCTAAATTCCTTCAAAAGCCATGTATTCATTTTTTCTGTGTAAGGTATATGGGCTTGGGTGAACTTAAAGCGGTATTAAACCCAAAAACAAAATGTAATATATTTGATTTACCAATCCTTAGATGTGGTGGATGCAATCATTTTCCTTTTTTAGGATTTTTTTAATCTTTATTTTCACCTGGTGCTCCAGTCAGTAACACACCTCCAGTTTTAGGGTCTCCATTCTGGATGGAGGAACGATGCAGATCCCCTTGGACAAGTGGCTTTAACAGTCTGGGGAGAGTAGTGTTAACCACTTGCTCTCTGGAAGATTTGACCCCCCTTCCTGACCAGGTCATTTTTTGCTTTTACACACAGCACTACTTTAATTGACCATTGCGCGGTTAAGCAACACTGTACCCAAATGAAGTTTATATACTTTTTTTTTTCACACAAATATAGCTTTCTTTTGGTGGTATTTGGTTTTTTTAATGTTTTGTGCTATAAATGAAAAAAGACCGAACATTTTAACTACTTTAACTGGTAATCGCACAGTCATGCAATGCTGTACCCAAGTGAGATGTATACATTTTTTTTTCCGCAGAAATAGAGCTTTCTTTTGGTGGTATTTGATCACCACTGAGTTTTTTTTTATTTTTTGCAAATAAATAAATGAAGAAAAGCAACAATTAAAAAAAAAAACAATATTTTTTACTTTCTGTTATAAAACATATCCAATAAAAACATTTTTTAAAAATATATTTTCTTCATAAATTTAGGCCAAAATGTATTCTGCTACATATTTTTGATAAAAAAAAAATCCTAATAATAAGCATATATTAATTTGTTTACATGAAAGTTACAGCAGCTACAAACTATGGTATACATACTGGAATTTTTCAAATGTATTTATTTATTTTATACTAATAGTGGTGGCGAACAGAGACTTATTATGGGACTGTGATAATGCAGCGGACAATCTGACACTTTCTGGCAACTGACTAACTGACAATGACATCTTCAGGGACACCAACACAGTGATCAATGCTAATAATATAACACTGTCACTGTACTAATGACACTGGCCGGGAAGAGGTTAACATCTGGGGCGATCAAAGGGTTAACTGTGTGCCTAACAAGTGTTTATGTGTATACAGTGTGCTGTTTTTACAAAGGGATGTGACATTTTGTATTCCCTTCATGGCAAAAACTGCAACATCCCTGCTGATAATAGAGAGATCTGTGTAGTATACCATCACTGATCTCTCCTGTCATCCACTACGCCGATTGGCAGGTGTCGGCCATGAATCACTGGTTGGCATCCGCTGGTCGGTTCCTGCCTGAGCCAGTGACAGCGCAGATGGATGGACAGGCATGTGCGCCCCCTACCCAAAAAATCACATATATACTGTATACACGTGATTTGTTTGTACAGGGGGTGTCCTGTAGCAGTAAAAGTACAGGAGGCAGTCGCTAAGCTGTGAAAGGTGAAGTTAAAGGCTGACCCCTTTGGGAACATGTTCAGGCTCCTGCAGCTGCTCCCTGATCCAACCCCCCCCCCCTCCCCCAAGGCAGGGGATCTTCTCCCTGTTCACTAGCAGATTTAGATCTTGTGGTCTTGACTAACAAATTAAAGCTAACACTTTTAAGCAGTAACAGCAACCATTTTATTGGACAGCTTAGTGCCATGTCACACTGCTGCGATTTCAGGTACGATTTGCGAATTGAAATACACCTAAAATCACATCTAATGAATGTGAATGTCAGTGTCTTAACATGTGCGATTTGCTGCAGTGCAATTTCTAAAGTAGTTCTGGCATTACTTTTTCTGCAGTTTTATTGCGATTCATATACATAGAATATAATGGCAATCGCACTGCAAATTGCAAGAAATCATTGAATATCTTCACAAGTAGCAATAAAGTCTTCATGAAATCACACCTGAAATTGCGCTAAAAATGCACACAAATTTTAAATCGCTGCGGTGAGACCAGTGATTTAGTCTGTTAAAGGAAGTTGAAAAAATAAAAGACTTACTGGCAGTATCAACAGACGAAAGTAAAGTAAAAAAAAAATAGGTAAGCAGCAATATAATACATTTTTGTTATTGACTTTAATACTTTTACGGCTAAATCCACCTTTAGCAAAAATAATCAATGCACCCATGTTGCAAAAATGTGCATTATTTTTTTTTTCTGCATTACAACAGCGATCAGTGGATAGAGGGTGCAATGCTTTGATTCCTGCGATTCCTCCTTTAGAACCTTGGTACAGACCTTCAGTTACAGAACTAGAGGAAGCATCAATGGACTACAAGTACGGTAGGTGTTGTTACCACACACTTGTGCTCCATTGAGAACTATGAGTCCCCCTGCCACAGTGGCTGGTGGAACTTGTCATTTATCATTCACAGATCCCTACTAATGAATGATGTTTGTTTGATGGCAGAGCTATGTATAGTCATGTCAGCTTAGCAATCAGTAGATGTGGTGACTGCATTAGTTTTTTGCTTTTGTTCCTCTATTTTCACCTGGTGATCTGACCAATAACACACCGCCTGTATTAGAGCACCCTCACTCTGAATGAAGGAGCATAGGGGGAACAGCAGACAGCAGTACTGTCAGTCTGGGGGGAGGGGAGTGTTTACAAGTACTAGCAGATTTAAATACACTAACACATTGAAGTCAAACTCCAGCTAACACTTTATAATCAGTTACAGCAGTTTTTTCCTTTTTGGGTAAAAGTTTTTACATGAATAAATAAAAGCTGATCATTGTAAGTAGAGATGAGCGAATCGAACTTGGCAAAATGGAATTCGTTTCGAATATTAGGAAAAATTCGATTCGCGCCGAATCCGAAAATTAGCATACTTCGGATGCACGAATCGAACTTTCCCCGATCGGCCGATTTTCATCCCTTTCTACAGCCGGCAAAAAGTGTCCCTGCAGAGAGCTCCGCTATTTCTGACAGTTCTCTGACAGTTCCTTCACATTTACAGCGGTTGAAACATTGTATCTATTTGTTTCCATTTAGGATACAGATGTTTTTACTCGGAAACAAATAGATACAATGTTTCAACCGCTGTAAATGTGAAGGAACTGTCAGAGAACTGTCAGAAATAGCGGAGCTCTCTGCAGATACACTTTTTGCTGGACTGGAATTCTTCTTATTTTCATCCTACTTCTTCTTCTTCTTCTTCTTCTTCTTCTTCTTCATCCTCATCCTCTTCTTCTTCTTCATCCTCATCCTCTTCTTCTTCTTTCTTCTTCATCCTCTTCTCATCCTCTTCTCTTCTTCTTTTCTTCTTCTTACTCATCCTCATCCTCTTCTTCTTCATCATCCTCTTCTCTTCTCATCCTCATCCTCTTCTTCTTCTTCATCCTCATCCTCTCTTCTTCTTCTTCATCATCCTCATCCTCTTCTTCTTCTTCTTCCTCATCCTCTTTTATCCTCATCCTCCTTTTCTTCTTCTTCTTCTTCTTCATCCATCATCCTCTTCTTCTTCTTCTTCTTCTTCCATCTTCCTCTTCCTCTCTCTTCTTCTTCCTCTTCCTCATCCTTCTTCTTCATCCTCATCATCCCTCTTCTTCTTCATCCTTCTTATTTCTTCTTCCTCATCCTCCTCTTCTTCATCCTCATCCTCTTCTTCATCTTCTTCTTCTTCTTCTTCTTCTTCATCCTCATCTCTTCTTCTTCTTCTTCTTCATCCCCTCATCTTCCTCATCCTCATCCTTCTTCTTCATCCTCATCCTCTTCTTCTTCTTCTTCTTCTTCATCTTCTCATCTCTCATTCTTCTTCTTCTTCACTTCCTCATCCTCCTTCTTCTTCTTCTCTCTTCTTCTCATCCTCCTCATCTTCTCACCTCTTCTTCTTCCTCTTCTCTTCCTCATTCTTCTTCTTCTTCATCTTCCTCATCCTTTCTTCTTCTTCTTCTTCTTCATCTCCTCATCTCTTCCTCTTCTTCTTCTTCCTTTCCTCTTCCTCTTCTCTTCATCTTCTTCTCATCTTCTCCTTCCTCTTCTTTCTTCTTCATCCTCTTCCCTCTTCTTCTTCCCTCTTTTCTTCTCCTTCTTCTCCTTCTTCTTCTTCCTTCTCCTCATTTCTCTTCTCTTCTCTTCTCTTCTCTTCTTCTTCTCTTCATTCTCCTCTTCTTCTTCTTCTTCTTCTCCTTCCATCATCTTCTTCTTCTTCTTCTCATCTTCTTCTTCTTCATCTCATCTTCTTCTTCTTCTTCTCTCTTCCTCATCCCTCTTCTTCTTCTTCTCTTTCTTCTTCCTCCCCTCTTCTTCTTCTTCTTCTTCATCTCATCATTCTTCTCATCCTCATCCTCTTCTTCTTCTTCTCTCTTCTTCTTCTTCATCCTCTTCTTCTTCTTCTCCTCATCCTCATCCTCATCCTTCTTCTCTTCATCTTCTTTTCCTCATCTCCTCTTCTTCTTCTTCTTCTTCATCCTCATCCTCTCTTCTTCTTCATCCTCATCCTCTTCTTCTTCTTCTTCTTCTTCTTCTTCTTCTCCTCATCCTCTTCTTCTTCTTCATCCTCTCTTCTTCTCATCTTCTTCTTCTTCCTCATCCTCATCCTCTTCTTCTCTTCTTCCTTCATCCTCTCTTCTTCTTCTTCTTCTTCCTCATCCTCTTCTTCTTCATCTTCTTCCTTCATCTTCTCTTCATCTTCTTCTCTCCTTCTTCTTCTTCATCTTCCTCATCCTCTTCTTCTTCTTCATCCTCATCTCTCTTCTTTCTTCTTCTTCTTCTTCTTCTTCATCCTCTTCTTCATCCTCTTCTTCTTCTTCTTCTTCTTCTTCTTCTCCTCTTCTCATCTTCTTCTTCATCCTCTTCCACTTCCTTTCTTCTTCCTCTTCCTCATCCTTCTTCATCCTCATCCTCTTCCTCTTCTTCTTCTTCCTCCTCCATCCTCTTCCTCTTCTTCCTTCTTCTTCTTCTTCATTCTTTCTTCTTCCTCATTCCTCCTCTTCTTCTTCCTTCTTCTTCCTTCATTCTTCTTCTCTTCCTTCCTTCTTCTCTTCCTTCTTCCTCATCCTCTTCTTCCTTCTTCAATCTTCTTCTTCATCCTCATCCTCTTCATTCTCATCATCATCCCTCCTCTCCTCCGACCTCTTCATCCTTCTCATCCTCATCCTCTTCTTCATCCTTCCTTCTTCCATCATCCCTTCTTCTCTTTCTCTTCTTTTCTTCCATCCTCATCCCTCTTTTCTTCTTCTTCTTCTTCTTCCCTCCTTCTTCTTCATCCTCCCTCTTCCTTCATTCTTCCTCATCCCTCATCTTCTTTCTCTTCTCATCCTCATCCCTCCTATTCTTCTTCTTCATCCTCTCAACCCTTCTTCCTATCTCTTCTTCTTCCTCATCCTCTTCTTTCTTCTTCTTCCTCATCCTCCCCTTCTTCATCATCCTCATCCTCTTCTATCTTCTTCTTCCTTCCCCATTCTTCCTTTTCTTCTTCCTTTCCTCATCCTCTTCCTTCTTCTCATCTTCTTTCATCCTCTCCTCTTTCTTCTTCTTCTTCCTCATCCTCTTCCTCTTCTTCCCTCTTCTTCTTTTCTTCTTCTTCTTCTTCTTCTTCCTCATTTCATCTTCTTCCTTCCTCTCTTCTTCTTCATCCTCTTCCTCTTCCTTCTCTTCTTCTTCATCCATCATCCTCTTCTTTCTTTCATAATCCTCATTCTTCTTCTTCATCCTCATCCTCTTCTTCTTCTTTTCATCATTCATCCTCTTCTTCCTTCTCTTCTTCTTCCCATCCTCTTCTTCCTTCTTCTTTTCCTTCTTCTTTCCCCCTCCCTCTTCTTTCTTCTCCTCTTCTTCTTCTTCTCCTCCTCTCTTCTTCTTCTTCTTCTTCTTCTTCTTCTTCTTCTTCATCCTCATCCTCTTCTTCTTTCTTCTTTCCTTCCTTCTTCATCTTCCTATCCTCTTCTTCTTCCTTCTTTCTTTCTTCTTCCTCCTCTCATCTTCTCTTCTTCTTTTCCCATCCTCTTCTTCTTTCTTCTTCTTCATCCTCTTCTTCTTCTTCTTTTCCTCATCTTCTACTTCTTCTTCTTCTTCCTCCTCATTCCCTTCTTCTTCTTCTTTCTTCTTCATCCTCATCCTTCCTCTTCTTCTTTCTTCCTCATCCTTCTTCTTCTTCTTTTCTTCATCCTCTTCTTATCTTCCTCCTTCCTTCTTCTTCCTCATTCCTCATCCTTCCTTCTTCTTCCTCATCCTTCTTCTTCTCTCTCTCTCATCCTCATTCTTCATCCTCCTTCTTCATCCTCTTCTCATCTTCTTCTTTCATCCTCATCCTCTTCTTTCTTCTTCTTCTTCTCCTCATCCTCAAATTCTTCTTCTTCTTCTTCCTCCTCTTCTTCTTCTTCTTCTTCATCCTCTTCTTCATTCCTCATCTTCTTCCTCTCCATCTTCTTCTTCTTCTTCCTCATCCTCTCTTCTTCTTCTTCATCACCTCATCTTCTCATCCCATCCTCTTCTTCTTCTTCTTCTTCATCCTCATCCTCTTCTTCTTCATTCTTCTTCTTCCTTCTTCCTCTTCATTCTCCTCTTCATTTCTTCTCCTCATCCTCATCCTCTTCTACTCTTCTTCATCCTCATCTTCTCTTCATCTCATCTTCTTCTTCAATCTTCTTCTTCATCCTCATCCTCTTCTTCATCTCTTCTTCTTTATCCTCATCTTCTTCTTCTTCATCCTCATCCTTTTCTTCTTCTTCTTCTTCTTCATCATCCTCATCTTCTTCTTCTTCCTCATCCTCATCCTCTTCTTCTTCTTTCTTCTTCTTCATCCTCATCCCTCTTCTTCTTCTTCATCCTCATCTTCATCCTCATCTTCTTCTTCTTCTTCTTCTTCTTCATCCTCATCCTCTTCTTCTTCAATTGAAGCTGCTTCTTCTGCTCCGCCACTCTGCCATTGGACTCTTGATAGTCGTCTCCCCACATTGCTGCTGGGGGGACTTTTTAACATAGGCCTCTGTATGGCCTTCAATTTAAGCTGCTTCTGCTTCGCCACTCTGTCCATGGGCCCCTGTACCGCCTCCTCATGCTGCTGCTGCCACCCGTCCAGAGTGTCACCCCGCCTCCTCATGCTGCTGCCAGGTCAGAGTGTGTCATGGGTCCCTGTACGGCCTCCCATTGCTGCTGTCTCCATCGCCACACTCTGCCATGTGCCACTTTCAGGTCTCCTCACACTGCTGGTGGGTTCCATTTTTGTCATAGGGTGCTGTATGGCCTCCCATTGCTGCTGCCTCCACCGCCACACTGTGGCTCCACACTCTGGTTTTGGCCCCGTGACTGCCCAAATGAGTGAAGTGTGCGGTGATTCTAAGATCGACGGCACTCATCTGCATGTCATACTGACTGACAGTATTATTTCTCTTCCCCAGCAGACTCCAAGGGCATTTAAATTAAAGGTACAGTGTTCTGCACTAATATAAAGGCTCTCTGAAGCCTAGAAACCCTTTTAATAAGTTAAATTTGCAGCAAATAAATTCGCATTGAATCAAATTTATTCCGCAAATTCGGCGAATCAGTCGAATCGAATTTTTGAATAATTCGCTCATCTCTAATTGTAAGCAACCCTGCCAGTGTTAAATGGTTTGTATCATCTCTGCAAACAGATACAGGTGGAAGGGAGCCTGTTCTTTTGAAAAACAACAGACTTACTAGCTTACATCACCCGATGAAAACATAAGGAAGAAACCAAAAAAATAAAATGAATGCAGCCATTACATCTAAGAATTGGGTGCTATATAATAAATGTTTGCTTTTGGGTTTAATACTGCTTTAAAGCAAAGCATAATTTCAGGAAGCGAGTTTTCCAATGTTGTAACATTTTCCAAGTAAAGGGAAAAGACAGAGGTGAGGGCAATGGCACAGAATCTTCACAAATGTAGGCACTAAAATGATTTGTTATGTTTGTTTTAACATGTAAATGTAAAAAATGTAAAATACTTTATTTTGGCAGAAAGGTATTCAACAAATTGTATTTAGATATGATCCACAGCAATGTCATACAACAGGAATAAACAATGTGGTTAGATGTCACAAAAAGTTTTTTTTTTTACCAATAAATCAGTGTGTCATGACATACAAATCACTTAGAAGCAGTCAGTACAGGTGGAAATCAAAAGTGTCTTACCAAACTGGGCAGGAAGCCTTGAAGTGATAAGACTGCCCTAGGTACAAACTGGTAGTGACAGAGGTCATTAGGACATGAAGTAACTCATTACATTTAGGAAAGAACTACATCCTGTTGTTACACTTCTCAAGATGAAGGTATGAGCGGGGTGCAGGTGGATTACCCATCTCTTATTTTATTTAGAGAGCAGGAAAGAATTAAGAGGAAAAGAGGAGAATGAAGAAAGGGGGAGAGAAGGGGGAGGGAGGAGGAGAAAAAGGGGGGAGAGAAAAAAAAGGTGGACTTGCAAGACTGTTAAAGGTCAGGAAGAAATCAAGGAGAAAT